CCTGGAAGCAGGATCATTTTGTTTTTTGAGAAACTGACCTGGCCCTGTAGAGGATGGCTGGGCTATAGGAAATGATAGCTTGTGTTTACATGGCACTTTAATACTTTTAGAGAATGTATATAACTCATCGTTTCACTCAACCCTTATGCTGGCATTCCCATTTTGCCCAATGCATTGAGATTGACTTTTTCACTTTTCAGGATCACAACAACACTGGACTTTTGGTCTCAAGCCTCCTGTTGCTCCTTTCATTCCACAGCTACTCTGAAGATAAATGGAGGATCATTTTGAATTCGCAAGGGAATCACCTCCCCATTTAAAATTCCTTATGGTTATGTGGAGGTGAGGCCAGCAGATGAGAATATCCAGCTTAGAGAGAAGGGGAAGGAACCCAAAGGAAAACCAAGGATTTCGGCAGAACATATTTGAATGGGAAGAAATCCTCAAGATGCCCTAGAGGAGGGAACCATAAGAATTGTAGCTGAGAAGCTGGAGAAGTATCTGACCCAGGTAAGTAAGATTTGGTTTAATCTCTTGATTCTGATTGCTTAATTCTGGGACTGTTTGCTGTCAGGTCTGCACAATCAGTTGGCCTAAGGAGATAAGGGACCTGTTTAACATCAGAAAGAAAAAATAGCATATTCTCTGGCAGAAGCATTAATTTTTCTCAGCTAATAGACAAAGAAGGTAGAGCAGAGGGGAGGACGCTGTACGGCTCTGCCACCTTCCCCTGTGTGACTGGACCAACCACTGACTTCCCCAGAGCCTGGGCTTCCTCATCTCCCCTGCCACACTGAGGATGAAGTGTGCTGATGTGGAGAGCACTGTGAAAAGCACTGCAAGGGGTGGGCATAAGCCTGGCTTCGTCATATGCCAGAGGCCTCCAGCCCAGGGAGTAGAATAACTCACAGAACAGAAAGGGGCTCAAAGCATGGGCTTTGGAGACAGATTTGCTAGGGTCACATCTGATGCTGCTAGCTCCTTGGGCGAGGGCCTTACTCCCTCTGTGCCTCTGTTTTTTCCTCTGTTAAATGGGGATGATACAGTGAATGCGTGGATCAAATGAGTAGCACTAACTGTTGACAACCGTGCTTGGCACGCAGTCTGCATTCAGTAGACGGTGATAGTAGTTACTATGATTAGGAATGCCACTACTACTGTATTTTCTGTGATGGCCTTGTGACCCAGTCTTATATGTCCAGACTCTTCCGTATCAAAAGCTTCTAGGTGTTTATAGTTCCTAGACCCAACCCCAGATCTACTAAATCAAGATATCTGTGGCAGGAGCCTGGGAGTCTGTATTTAACGAAATGCCCTGAGCAGGTCTGAAATTTGGTGTGTGGAGCAAATTCCTCAGACATCCAATTTAGGATGAATCTTCCAACACTTAGGCCCACTGCCCACATCTTACTCTGCCACCATAAAGGCCTCTATTTTCTCACCTTTGTGTGAGGAATCGCTGTGTCCTCTGAGTACATGTGGACTCCTTATGTCCTGGCTGTGTCCAGCTATCCCCACTGCCCGAAAACTTTCTTACCCTCCCACGGTGAGCTTCCCTAGTCTGGCCATATACGAATGTTACACATTTTATCTTCCTCCAAGTCTTCTCCATCTGTGCCCCTCATCCAGCAGCTTTTCTCTGGCAGCAGAGCTAGTGATGGGGACTTTCCATAGGTCTGTTTCCTAGCCAGTCTGAAATCCCCTTTCAGTGGAAATTTGGTTCCAGTTGTGAGAAACTAGGGGGCTTTGATTCATGTGACCAGCTGGTGTTTCCTCATCCAGGAATGGCTGGGGTGTGAGTGAGGAGATGATCTTATTCCCTTGGTCGTCAGATACTGTGCTTACCCTCACAGCCTCCGATACCTCCTGGGCCTGAATCACATGGCAGAGCTTCCTCCCTCCATGTCTTGTTCAAGCTCTTTCCCTGTGTTTGGTCCAGCTCCCCCAGACTGCTCTGTTGCCACTTTGCTCTTTCCACCATCACTGCCCACACAGGATGTGGGTCCCCTCCCTGATGCCTTTGTTTAGGGATTGAAACAGCCCCACCTAATCACCCTCTTTATTCTGGCTGTCCCAACCAGGCTTCCTGGGCACAGCCCTCCACTTGAGGCAGTGTGGCCCTCCCCACTGGTGAGAGAGAGTTCTGTGAGTCTGGACTCACAGATGCCCCATGGTGACGGAGGTCAGACACAAAGCTTGGGGCCAGAGCCTAGCCCCAAATGGCAGACCTCCATGGAGACACAGGAACTGGCCAAGTGGCAGCCAAGTAGCAAACATTCCTGGTGTTTGCCACCCCCTGGGGCTCACCACATGTGCTGTTAGGTCACTCATTTGACCTGCTTTGTTAGCAGATCCTGTCTTCCTCCCTGACGCCCTTGCCTTGCTCTGTCCTCTGCTACAACCAGGATGAGGATGGAAGGCTGGCAGTGGTTGCAGGGCATTGTGACTTTTGGGGTGTGATATTCAGTACCCTGTTGTGGTGCAGGGAAGCCCGCAAGGCCTGGAGCCATGACTGGGAAGGTCCTCTGGACCCCCAAATGTTCCTTTCTGCCAGGGCAGGGAGAGGGCAGGGGGAAGGCACGGGTGATGGTGCTAGCCTTTAGGACTAGTCATTAACATTTTTTGGTATAGAGTCTATTCCTTCTCCAATCATCAAAGCTGTTTTGTGCAGGGACAGATGTATGACTTACACTTTAATATATTCTTTCATTCGGTGAGTATTCACTTAGAACATACGTTGCCTGGGGACTTGGAGTGGAGGTGCTGGGAACAAGGTCCGGTGATGTGAAGGAGATAAGCCATAGCTTACACAGTGCCTGGGCTTGGGCAGGCCTCAGAGAATCGCTCTTAAATAGGATCAGGCAACCCTCATATAAGAAAATTAGAGGCCATGTAGAGGCTAAAGGCTCAGAAAATCTTCCTTGCCTGCAGCATCTGGGGAGGTCTGAAGGTAGAGAGAGCACTGTGGTTGCCTTTGAAGGACAGGTGGGCCCTGTGGCCAGACAGGGGAGGTGAGAACTGTGCAGTGAGTCAGCTGGCGCAGACGCAGGGAGATGGGACGCTTTCTGGCATGTTCCAGATGTGAAGTGTTCTGTTTGCCTAAACCCTGGGGTTTCTAAAGGGGAATAGTGAGTAAAAAGTTTGTAAAGACTGGCCAAGACAAGTCTGTGGAAGTCTTTAGCCATCAGACAGGGGGCTTTGAGTTGACTTGGTCAAGTAGGAACCACTGGAGTCTATCTTTAGTAGACAGATGAGTGAATGTGACAACAAATTGTGCTTTAGGAAGGTGAATCATATCTTCTAGACCAGGAAAACCATCAACATAACAGCTTAGGAGGAAAAGGATGGTGGTGGTGTGAAAAGAAATGAAGAGATGAGAGATCAAGGGTGTCCTGAGGAAACTGCAGGATTTGGCAACTTGGTGGGGACTCTTTGGGGGAAAAAAGGCAGCTGAGATATCAAGAAGTCATTTTGTGCTTCTATATACAGATTTCTGTGGCCTGGAAAGGTTAGTTCAGTATCCCTAGACATTTATTAGTGCTTACTGTGTATCTCATGTAAGAGGAACAAAGGCAAACAAAACACAACACTTGCTCCAAATGGAAAAGGGCTTTACAGGAGACCCCAGGCTGGCCCACACTACTCTCTTGGCAAAGAAAAGCAGAGATGGCCGAATGTTTCATTCAGTATCCTCTCTGTAGTATGGATGAAGGGGTCCAGGTTCATGTGCTCCCTGTGTGGATAGCTTGGTGACTTTGTTTTTCTTTGTTTCCCTCCACAGCTATTTCTCTTGCCCCTAACATGAGGTGTGAGTAGGAGACTGCCCCTGCTCTACTCCCCAGCCTTAAGCCCCCAGGGAATCCCAGTGTTTGAGGATAATCAGAGGAGCCAAAAAGAACCACAAGGGCCAAATAAGGAAGGGAGACACAAAACAAGAGCTAAGGGATTGAAAGGAGGCCTCAGTGGGGAAAGGAGCTGAGGGGCAGACACAGGGGAAGTAGGGGAAGCCTTCCTGGGGAGAGAAACTGGGAGACTAAATGTGAGGAGGCCAGGAACACAGGGCGTGCTTGGGGAATGTACATGGTCTTGTCCAAAGAGTGTAGGCTGATCAGAGCCTTGTTTACAGCAAATATTTTGTTTTGTTTTGTTAATGAAGTCAAGAATAACAGCTGGAAATCTAATTAAGTGGTTTAGAAGTTGTGGTTTAGTTGTTTTCTGTTATACAATGTTCTGGGTTTCTTGTTGGGCCTAGAAGCCATCCCAGCTTGTTAGCCAATTGTCAAGAGGTCATTGATGAGGCAACTTCTCCATTCCAGCCCATAAACATAACTGCTGGGCTTTGATTTTTGGCAATAACTTATCCTTGTGGAGAGGATTTTAATTACTCAGTGTCCAAGAAGTAGAAATCTCACTGCTTTCCTTATGAGGTCTGTTTAGGAACAGCGAAATGTGTGGGTGACAAGACATACGTGAATATATATAGAAATCGCCAAGTTTCATAAATATATTCATGGAAAATCAAATGGTTAAGGCCAGGACCAGGTGAAAGTTAGTCTTTTGTCCTCTTTTATTTCATCATCCTTCTTCCCTTTCAAACAGCAACTGGAAATATTTTGACAACCAGATCTTTTTCGTTCTAAATAAAAAGACAAGAAGGACCACCCAAGAGTAAGAAGAATAATGAATTTAATTACCACCAGTAAATTACGAGTAATTCTCTTGGTAACATTATGCGTTAGTATGATTAAAGTAAATATAAGAATAGATTTTTTTTTTCCTTTTTGGCAGAGCATGGTATGGTGATGGTGGTTGGAGTTGGAGAGTTGATTTTAAAACAAAAATTTTAATAAATCCAGGAGAGTCAAATCCCAGACATGTCTCCAAGCATGATGTGTTGGACTTGGTACCTGATGGCTTTCAGACTTGCTACCTGATGGCTTTTCCCTAGAGCTGATGTAACAAATAGGTGGTTTAAAAGCAACAGAAATTTCTTTACTCACAGTTTTGGAGATGGAAGTGTGAAATCAAGGTATTTCTGGACCACATTCTTCCCCCTGAAGTCCTTCAAGGGAGAATCCTTCCTTGTCTCTTTCAGTTCCCAGTAGTTCCAGGCATTCCTTGACTGAAGGCTGCATAACCATAATCTCTGCTTCCATGTCGACATGGCTGTCTGACTTGTGTGTCTCAATGTCTGAACTCTTCCTCTGCCTTTTTCTTTTAAGGACATCTGCCACTGGGTTAAGTCCAGGATGATTTCTGAGCTCCTTAGCTTAATTCAATCTGCAAACACCCTTTTTCCAAATCAGGTCATATTTACAGGTTCGGGGGATTAGGACACAGGAGCATCATTTCAGGGGCCACTATTCAACGCACAATGAGAAGATGCATTCTTTGCTAGCATGAGAATGTGCCCCTGGATGTTCAATAAATCTTTGTTGATGGACTGGTGGCCTTTAGTAGAGCAGGGTTTAACTGGATTCAGTGTGAGGCAACTGGAGGGTGTAGCAAGTCTCTGTAAATAAACTGCATTTGGAATAAAAGAGGTTATGTAATTTACAGGATGGATAGATTAAATTCATTTTACTAAGCACAGTATTTTCTGAAACCCTATCAAAAGCTTTCCTGATAGGCTCTGAGGCTGAAAATCTGAGATCCCCAATGAAAGTTATCCATGTGATATTTTGTTATTCATAACATGTTTTGTTGTTTCTTCTTGTCATTATTGTTTTTATCCTTAAAAATAGAACATTTTGAATTGATCCCATTGGACATTTGAAATGCTTAGAGCTCCAAAATACTGACATGCTGTGGAATAAAATAAGTACGTTTTAAAGCAAGTCTCCCTGAAATAAATGGAAGACAGCCTAGTAAATAATACATATCTAAGAGTTGTTTAAGAATACTTAAAGGGACCCACATGGGTCAGAGTTCTTTCTTTCTTTTTTTTCAAAGGGAGATATTAAGACATAGGGTAGCCAGGGCCATAAATGTGAAGTCAGTTCCCTAAACAATAACTGCAGAGAGTCCCTTTTCTCTTTCTGTCACTGAGAAACACAGCCGCCCACATATTCCTGCCACTCTCCCTCCATGCTTGCAATGGTGGTAGTTTGCCTGGAGAGCAGTGACTCACCGGAAATGTTCTCCTTTCCAGAGTAAACAGCTAGAATGAAATCATGTCAGCACCATTTACCAATTTTATTTTTAATTGGCTAATATGCCTTTGATCACTGAAGGGGAAATAAGTGAATGAGGGCTGGCTCAGGCTTAAGGACCTGCATTATTATCTTGTACATTCATTTAGATCATTTTCCACCATCCACCCAAAATAGTTATTTATTAACATAATACGGTTACGGATCTATCTGCAGGGCTTGAAGATGAAAATTGAAACTGCGATGATTTAGCTGAAAGTTACTGGAGCATTCATAAAGCTGTCAGAATTACAAGAGAAAACACATTAAGAAAACGCCAGCACTAGTTGCTATTAAATGGATATTCAAACATCATCAGCACTGTTATCCACAGCAGGCTGGTCTAATTTATAAGCTTCTGTGCAAGGGGATAATGGTAGCTGCAGGTTCAAAGGAAAGTGGATCACAGGCATGACATTAGGAAGAGTGATCACATGTTTTCAAACATAAATCAGGAAATAGGAAAAAGTATTTTCCCCCGATTTGTTAATTTACTTACATCTTTAAAAAGTATTTTCAATAAATCACATTTATAGAAAGCAATAAAATAAACTGAAAAAGCACAAACTTGACTTTAATTCATTCACCAAATGCTTATTGAGTACCATTGTTATGCCTGGCATGGTTTTAGTGGTGGATACAATATAAATTAAACACACAAAACACCAGCCCATGGATGGACTTCAATGACTCTGCCAACAAATCCTGATGGAGTAGCTACTGTATACCAGGTATGTGCTATGGTTGATATTCTGACAGTTCACAATCAGACACATTGGTGATCATATATACTTATTGGTGATCATTTTGGTGATCACCAATCATACATATTGGTGATCATATGCACTCAGTGTTACTGAGACTCTGATCTGAGTATTCTTGGGAACGCTTACATGTCTCCCATGAGTTTGCTGATAAACTTTGGTCATTGCCTGTTGTTCTGGCAGCCAAGCTAGAGCTCGGTAGAGTTGGGCCTCAATGTGGAGAGTAGCTGTTCTGAGCTGAAATTGTGCTCCATTTCCATGTCTGTGTGCATGTCAAAAGCATCAATGGTGGTGAGGCTGAAAATCTGTCAGGATGTGATGTTGGTGCCCCTGGAATGGTACCAGTGCCCTGGGGCTACTGCTCTACATCATTCCTGTGAATGTGCTCCTTTTCCAGCACACACAGTGCAGATTGCTTGAGTCCCAAGTGTCACAATGTACAGCTAGTCAGTTCCTACACTTCTCCTTCTCAAGCTCCGTTGCCTCTCCCTGCAATCACTTCTTCAACTGACCTGTTGGTATCTGGTCTTCTTGCCCCACATAAGTTTAAGGACATTGGTTCATGTAGGGAGAGTGATGGCCCCTCCCTCTGCTCATTATGGGCTCCTAAGATCTGGAACCACCAGGCTAAAATATCCCATTACACACACATGCATCTTTGAAAAGAAGATCGCCTGAGAACATCTGCACAGCTGGCCTTAGGAATATAGCCACTAGGTCCAAACTGAATGACACTAAGTTAAAGTAGAGCAGCAAGTATTCTCTGCAAACACACAGGAAGATGAACAGAAGCCAATTACAATGGCAAGAAACAAATGGTGGTATAAGCTGTGTACCAAAAATGAGGTTGAAGTTAGGGTACAGTAATTAGGAACATGGAGTTTTCCCAAAGATGAAAATAAATTGGCAAAGAGCTGAGTGATCTACACCCAGGTCTTCACAAAGGAGAATTATAACTTACTTTATTCTGCTATTTAATGCATGTATATTGAGCTCCTGCTCTGACACAGACACTACATTTGGCCCTGAAGATATCGGAATGAATAAGATCCTTTCCCAGCCCGTAAACAGCTTAGAGTCTAAGGCAAAGATCAGCAGAATATGGCCCATGGGACGAGTCCCACGCACCTCCTGTTTTTGTAGGGCCTATGAGCTAAGAAGTGCTTTTACGTTTTTAAATGGTTCAGAAAAACACAAAAGAATAACATTTCCTAATGTGTGAAAATTACATGAAACACAAATTTCAATGTTTATAAATATAGTATTATAGGAACACAGTCAAGCTGATTCTTTTACGTGTTGCCTGTGGCTGCTTTTGAGTAACAACAGCCAAGTTGAATACTTGGGACAGAGAAAACATGAAAACATGAAAAAGCCCAAAATAGTTACCCACCCCTGACCTAAGAGGGGGACTGACACAAGAGACCAGCAGGTGACATATGACATTACAGAGGTAAAGATGTGCTCCAGTGTATTCCTGGAGCATTGAGGAGAGGATGATAAAAGCACAATTTTCAGTTTCCTTAAGGTCACTAGAACAAATATATAAGCAACGTAAAAGAATTTAAAAACACTTCTTTTTGCCATCACTTAAACAAGAATCCAAAAGATCCAAAAAGAAATATGTTATTACATTTCCAGGTTAACTATTCTGTATTTTACTTCTATAATTATTAGTAGTAATAATACTTCAGCTTCTCTTAGTATCAGTTTATACGTGCAGGTATAAATTTTGCTGTATGATCCGTTCTCTTATATGTATTACTAAAACATTATTTATTCAGAATATCCTGCATGGGATGGAGTTTAAAGAGTAAAGATGCTTTAATTCTTAAGTATTGCGATCTGAAAGCCATTGGTCTTAACAGCTTGGCAAGCCTGGGTCTCTGGACAGAGTTCAAATGGCAGGTCTCCCAGCAAGGCCTGAGAAAAGGGTGCACTCTAAGAGGTTTCTTTTCACTGGAGTCCCAGGATGGGGAGGGGTGAACATTAGATGCCAGTGGGACAGGGGTGTACTGTGGCAGTCGGCCATGCATGGCTGACCTCAGAGGAATTTTTAAAACGAGACTTCACACGTATCTGACTCAGAATTGCTGAGCAGAAAAAACAGATCTATGGCTTTTACTTCCCATTTTACTCTTAGAATTTTGGCTTTCTCTGGTGAAAACATAAGCTCATGCTCTTGGGCAGGTGGTCAGGGACACAGACAAGTGGTCCACGTTGACACACTGACAGGGAATACAGCATCAGTTGTGAGGTTAGGAAGTTAGGATTTGAATCCTAGTGCTGCCATTTAGCAGCTCTGTGACTTTAAGAAATTTTCTTAGCCTTTATGCTTCAGTGATTTTTAAATGAGGAAAATAATTGCAGCTATCTCATAGTGTTATTGTGAGGATTAAATAAATTAATTCATGAAACCCATCTGGAACAATGCCTGGAACATAGATGAATATTTAACATTTGCGGGGATGATCATCATGGTCTTGGTGGTGATGATGATGATGCTGATAATGACCATTTTTTCTCTCCTGGAGACACAAGAGTTAACCATAAACACTATTTCAAGGATCTTGAGACGTTTTTCTTTGCACTACATCTTCACAGGAAAAATCTTTCTGTCTCTAATTTTTTGAGGTCTTCTGAATTCTGGCTTCCCCGTTGTCTATCCTATTTTTGTCCTACTTGTATCTTTTTAATCCTGACTATAATAATCAGGTATATATGCCCAGGTGCTAACTGTATTATCAATGTGAAGGGCAGTTCGGTGGTGTGATTCAATGCTTTTTAGTAATACCACCGATGATCCAATTTCTGTTTTAGAGCATCAGGCACTGCCTCTGCAGCAGAAACGGTGACCACTAAATATTTGTTGGATTGAACTGAATTCCATTTTCACCCTGACAGTGATGAAGATCCCATTTTCCAAAATTTATTGCTGTCTTAAATTAGCCTAGAGCTTGAGAACTAGAGAGCTATCCGTTTATTTACATTTAACTACCTGCTACCTTCTACCTGACTCTTTAACTCTGGAAAACAGTTTGGAATCTCTGTCTCCTAATTTATAACAAGGTTTGTGTTATGATTCTTCAGACAGATTGATCCTTATCCATGATTTCCTGAAAGTCTTGCTTCAAGTGTAACCTTGCTACCCTCTTTACCTGTTCCCAGCTAATTAGTTATTGACTCAGCTTCCTTCTCTTCCTTGCAGTTAGTTGCTCACCTTAGTCTCAGAGATGCTTGCAACAGGCTGAGTTTAGATTGCAATAGAGAGTGAGTGTTTTAATTATCTATTTCTGTGTAACAAATGACCCCAAACTTAGCAGCCTGAAACAACAAACATTTATTATCTCGCAGTTTCAATGATCCAGGAAACAGGAAGTGGATTGTTTGGGTTCTCATGACTTAGGAACTCTGATAGTGCTGCAATTAAGATGACAGCCAGGGATGAAGCCATTTGAGACTCATCTGGGTTGGAGGGTCTACTTAAAAAATCATGAACGTGGCTGTTGGTGGAGGCTTTCGCTCCTGACCATGCTAGCCTCTCCAGTGGCTGCTCA